GGGAAAATGAACAAGTTGGGAGATAAAATATGAGAGTGGTTTGGGGGAGATATATGTTTGGTAGATGGGAAAATATATAACAGAAAAAAAAACCAATAGCTTCAAAAAATAGTGAAAGTTACATGCAGCAGCGCCGCGAAAAAGCCACATTTTAGACCTTATTTTTTACAGCATGATTCAATTGTCCGTCATTGCCCGCACTCATTGAACGGTTGACAAAGCCCAGTGCACATGGGCACAGCTTCCCATTCACTCACCGCATATTACACGCTGAGGTCTTGACCATCAATCGCTCTGCACAGCAACACGGCAGCATAGCAACACACTGGGCCAAGGCCTGAAACAAACAAGCCCTTATGTAACACACACAATGGGGGCTTTGTACAGAGCGGGCGACGTGGCCGCAAAACCGAAGGGTCAATGGAAGTTGCTTGTGAGGGCTAGACTTGCAACGGGACACTCATTATATGGGGTTTAGGCGTTCAGAAAGAAAGATATGAATTTTTGAAGATTTTTGAAAAACGAAAATATTAAAAAACCGCCCGGCAGCATATGTAACGGTTAAAAAAAAGCACCCGGCAGCAAGTGGTTAAAATAATTTTCTGGATTTTTCCTGATTACATTTTCCTGCATGAGTTGATTTGATTTGCTTAGTACCTGTTCTGCAATGATTACATGGATATTGTGGGGTCTCTCCGTTACCCCCCCCCCATGTGAAATCATTCACTATTTTTGTAAATAATTAAATTTTTCATTTTTAAAGTTTTTATAATATTAGGTGCAAAACTATTGCATATTTCATGTGTAATGGAGAGACCAAACTGTCAGAATTACCCATTTGGAGAAAAAATTACTTACATTAATCTCCTTTGTAATCTTTTAGGCCAGGAACCACTTGGAAAAGGTGATCACGTATGCTGTTTAGTGTTGTTCCACACTGCCCCGCTGTCTCTTGTCGTCTGAGGTGGGCCTCAAATCCATTAGCTCCTCAATGGAAGGACGACCTCTCTTAACTTGTATTTGTCATTCTGAAACACTGACTTGCGAAGATGACTTTCTCTTAGACTGTACTGGAAGTGTAACTGTGTTCTCCAGACCTAAACAAGAAAGAGATTGGAGATTTAAGGAAATATTAACAAAACTGCCTTGTTTTTTCACCTATCACTTTATCTGTTACTCATTCAAGCTTTAAGCTCATTTTCCACAGAAAACAAAATTCTAACATAAATTATTAGTTTATCATCTGACCAAGAAAAACTGGTGTGGCCAAGCGGCTTTTTTTGGGGGGGGGATGCCATAGGTAAGTACAATTAGGCATACATTAACAATACACGCAATGTACTTCTAGAAATGTAAGGTTGTCCACTTACCTCACAAGGTGTATGTAGGGTGTCTATGTACACCCTGTAACTAGTGTAAAGGTTAATGGAGAGCCTTAGTGAACATTACATTTCTGGAAATACATGTGTGGTACACGGGTAGGCCAAAGGCATGTCAACTACACATACAAAATGGGTGATTCCATAACTGTAGGGGCCGGTGAATTTTGGTGTCGGTACACTGTGACATTTGTTTCCTTGATTTTAGTGGCTAAAATTAAAGCACTTGTACCTCAATTTCTGGTAGCAAAGGAAGAGCCTGTGGGTGTTCTAAATAGTTCAAATGTTTTTAAGTTTCTAATGATTTCTGGAAATACATGTATGGTACATGTGTAGGCCTACTGCATGTCGACTACAAAATTTAATTG